ATCTGCTTAAACGTTTGAAATTGCAATTAATTTTTACTATTGAAAATTAAATTAATATCTAAATCGATAGTAATATAATACGGTTTAACGAGCGCTTTGTTGTATAAAAGAGTGATGCATTTTTTCACCATTGTGTGTGTGTGTGTGTGAATACAAAGAGCTCAATGTTATTTATCACAATCTCGTTTATGCAGCGTCGAGCGTGCAAAACGAATTTGAAACGTCTGTTTCGTACAAAAACGACGAAGATACCGAAAATGGTACAGACGGCAGTGACGATGGAAACTGGACGTATGACGAGGAACCGTTAAAAGGCACTGATGGAAGCCGAATCGCAGCTTATCACGCCGGAAAAGCTACATGGCGATGTGACGAATGTGGTAAGTACATCCGATATATGCATTGCTAAATGTCTTCTTTTGCAACAATATTCAGCGAACGCATTTGAATGTACTGTCGTGTCTAAAATAACGTTCTATAAACCTCTCTAAAAATTTTTTTTGCAAAGCTAACTTGTTTACAATCTCCATAAGCTTAAAGGTCTTGATCGATGGAGCACTCAGAGTATAGCTGAGTAATTTTCTAACCATGTAAAAAGTTTAACTGATACAAGATAAAAATAAGTTGATTAGTAAGGGTAGATAGCGAGAAAAATTCCCCTGCTAATTACCGATCATACCGTTTTGAACAATTATCTTATACGGCTATATCTCATGGTTCTCGCGTTTTTCTAGGAAACCATTTGCAGTTTTTATATTATCTAGCAATATAAATATGTATCCTAATTAGAAATTTTTATAATGTTACAAATCTCCAATAACTGCAAGCTCTTTGATACGATTGTATAACGAGGCTCGATTAGTTCATTACGTGTGCACGCGAAAAAATATAAAATGAAATGCAATATACACAATGCTTGAGAAATCATGTAAATTCTTTGCATTTTAAATCTTCTGGAAAATTTTAAGTCAATGTAAATGTGAGAATATTTTATCACATGCTATGCAATAGATTAACATATTTTTTTAAATTTATATATGTGCGATAGATTTATGTAGTAAATTATATATCAAATTCGGTAAATGCTCCTTCATTTATTCTTTATTCAATAAAAAGCAGGTATAGGTTAAGTTTGCGATAGAAGATGCCAGAATTGAGACGTTAGCAACACGATTCCGTAGTAGAGGGGATACGCACACAAATGTGAACCGTGTACATGCAATGTGCAGAGCGCTCTGCGCATTATATATACGGTTCACGCTTGTGTTCGTATCCCCTCCACTACAAAACCGTGTTGCTAGCGTCTCAATTCTGGCATTAGGAGTGCAGTGTTATATAGCGTACGTACACGCTTTCATTTATAAAAAAATGAAGCTGAAAATTCTTCGTAATACTTATGGATAGTTACATCAGGTATGAAATATATACACACACACACACACACACACAGAGAAGAAAGTAGGATAAAACCGGGTATCTCTGTTTCTTCGTGATAAGTGCTACTATCTTTGGCTAACTCGTGTTATTAGTTATAGATTGATGCCAACATTATTTTGAGATGAACCGTGCCCACATGCACACGATATTTCGTTTTTGAGAGAAGTCCAAAATTTTCGGACCAAAAAAGATCGATATCGGGACAACAATTGAGTCGTTATGGACTTTTTCTACACAGAGCATCTGCTTCGGTAAATGCAGCATTGCACACATTCTGTACATATTAGAGAGTATATCTATACTAGTTTTGATCGTCACTTTGTACGCTGGAATATACAACCGCCGTGTTTGTTACTTTCCTTGTGTTGGGACAAAACCTGGTATTACACATTTCATGTAATGAAAAGAGGAAGAACTGTTATCCTGACTTTGTCTCCCTACAAAAAGCAGTTGGAAACGAAAACTACCACTTAGATAAAGAAACCAATAAAAGAAAGCTTTTTGAGACTATAAGTTAAAATATTAAAGTTAAAATATTAAATAAGGAAGTCCTGCAGCAATGTCGAACAAGAGGATATCTTTATTTGTGATTTTTGTCAATAAAATACATTTTTATATTGCATTTTGATTAAAATAAATCGAGATTTTGTAATTGCACGGTTTTACATGTTTTTAAATGGGTACCCAGTTTTACCCTACGCGTTTTACCCCCCGGTAGGGCAAAATCGAGTATTTTAACTTCTCCAAAAAATCTTGTTATCCTTGGTAACCAAATATTTTTTTTCAGCAACTAGTCTAATTTTCTCGTAGTTTAAGGTCCACTAAAGACTACTAATATAACTTTTATATAATCTGTATTAAAAGATTTTAGAATAGTTTCTTTATGCAATTCTTCTTCATAGTTTTTCTTTTTTTTTTTTTTTTACTAGCTGAATAATGCCTATTTATTAATGCTGCTAAAAATAACTCACGTCTCAATTAATTAATTAAATTCGCATTGATATTGTCTCAGTTTACATATTAAACCATCTCATTATTTAATAGAGTTATAGAAATCATGAGAAACTCACATCAATGTCGGCGCACGACCAAAATCTGTAGCTGGAGCCCCATTCCTCGGCCTCCCGCAGCAGTCTGATAGTGCAGTCAGTGCAGCTGAAATCTTGTGGCAGCTGCACGGCATAACTCTGCGCTCTGAAAATCAGAAATACCGCGTCAGATAAATCAGAAGAAAGGGCGCGTCATTGCGCACTTACGTAGCATCGTCCTCGACGAATTCGCTGTTTCGTGTGATAGGCGTCAGATCGATCAGAGGTCTATCGTAAAAATCTAAGATCTGAAGTCGAAAGCCTCCCTGAAAAATAGCAAATTTCATATTCAAACATGTGTGAAAAACATGAAATATTTATTTGCTCTTAAAAGTTAACTTTTATTTATCCTTCAATTAAAATATCGACGGTTTCGTTTTATTTTACTCATCTCTTTTCTCCGACAAAATATTATACATTGACATAATCATCGCACTATTCAATAGAGAGGTGATAAACTGAAGATTCGGATTAAGTTTTTTATACGGAAAAGAGATTCATGCATCCGTGGATATGTGGATTTTTCTATAGTCTAAAAGTTGAAAAGTGTGTTCCTGTCACACATACAAGTCATGAAACGTTCAATGGATCATTTATATTTTGTCCATTCATGGCATTCATTCTGCTAAACTTATGGCTGTTCTTCGAGTTCCGCAATAAATAGCACATCATCACATGGAAAAACGTTAAAGCGGTTTCGATACCAATCACGTAAGCGGAATTGATGCAAGTGGGTCCCAGTCGTGAGAGATCTCTCGATTTTTTCCTTGTAACTCGACGAGTTGCAAGAAGCAAAGTGATTCGTTCCATCGTTGTTGCCATTTGCTACGCTGGCCTTAGTAAATCGACAATACAATAACGGACTAGAACTTGTCTCCTTTGATTTACTGACACAATTAATGCCGTTAGTACACAATCGTTTATCAACGTGTTATTTAAGCAATTATATAAAAAACATATAATATAAAATAAATAAATATATATACACACACATTTGTATACATTGAATACAAAACTAAAAAACATTATTTTATTTAAAACATTACATTAATTAAAAGCTGTGTCAATTATCACATTCATTTTTTACTTGATCGGCAACAAAACAAATGGGAACATTTGCGGCTGCAACCCGAGATATCCGGATCATTCAGACAAGTATGTATGCATCTCGGTCGTGGCTATAATAATTATCCGGATTCTGACACGAATATCTCGGTCCGCATTGACGGCGACGCCAGAATGTCGATGAATAGCCGTTATATGGACTCGCATCGTACAAGCGCATCATATGCATGAGACGCGATTGGTCGTACCACTTCTGTTAATCCGCAAACGCACGCCTCGCAATCTCGCGCTTGCGACATGATTTACGAAATTCGTGCGCCGAATTAAAGAGCGCGGAAAGGCTCTCCCTCGTCGAATTAAGAGCGCTCCTTCCTCTCTTCCCTGCCGGGATAATGACGGAATAATGACAACGAGTTAATGGATGCCCCCGGCCGATTGATATGCGCCATCGGTTGCGACATGAGATTCTTTATAATCACGTCGGCCCGAGCACCGTTAAGAAAGCGCCGATGCAAGTTCATAAACGTTATTGAGTAACATCCGTATCCGTCCGTGACGGCTTCGTAGGAGGAAGCGATGTAAGGATTATCGCGGGCCGATCTGCGGATGCAGATTACGACCTCGTAATCGAGATATATGCGATTTTCGAATCGGAAATCGGTAATTTTAATTTGCACACGCAGGTATATCTCCTTGGATAATCTCTGTCTCATTCTTTTTATATCTTCATTCCAATCAATTCTTGGATTCGATATTACGCATCCGAAAGGAAGAAGAAAATATTTGTACCATGTTTGAAGTTGCGCAATCACAGACTTTAATTAATTTAATTATTTATCAAAAAAATAAACGGGAAAAAAATTTCCTTTAGTAAACAATAAAAGGGTTCAACAAGATATACATCAGACACATATGTATATGTATAAGATAGTAATACATTTTAAACAAGATGTTTTTTTTAACAACAAAATTAAAATTTGAAAAATAGAAAAATCAGAGAATGTATGTAGTAAATAGAATGAGATAGATTATATAATTTAACGTTTAAATTAATATGCAAGATATTACGATTAAACAGTTATATCTTGTACGTACAAATTTATTTTACTATAATAATATTATTGTTGGAGTGTGCAATATTTCTTAATTAATGCTGCTTGATGAGGAAATCAGTTTTCTTAATATCATAATTAATAGATTTAGGTCATCATTCATCTTATATTTTCCACTCAAGCAGTTTCTATCGACGAATCTAGAGCTTGTATTTTCCGGAATAAGTTGGATTGAATGCGCAAATCTCGTAGCTATCTTACGAATGTCGTGTGACATCTGTCGACACGAGCAATCAGACAGTCGGTGAAAGACGACATTCGTTGTAGAAGGAAACGATGGTCGCGCGTTCCCACCTCGAGACATCGCGAAGGAGAGAAAGGGAAGAGATAGGGCAAGCCGCAACGACGTGGTCGTGGTACTGCTTCGCACGGTGAACACACCTGCACTCTCGGAGGCAGGCACGGTTGTTATTGTCAAATTTTTCTCGTGCCGACATCCAGCGCGGATATTCCCGCGCGGCCAAGATTTTAATGTCCCTAAATGTCGTAATGTAATCCGCGCGAATGTTTATCGCGCGCATTTCGTCCATCCCGTTAACGACCACCTGGCGACTGCCTTCCTAAGAAGGAGAGACTACATCTTTCCTGCATATTTGGAAATAATTCTTTTTGCGACTGCGGTTGATATTTTCATGAATCTAGGTGCATCGGTATAAGAAGGAGAGAAAATACCATTTCTTCGGTATCTCTTCCATATATTCCTTGACCTCATCACTCTTAATGTTTACTCCATTATAGAATAAATTTCAAATTAATAATCTCTATCAAAACAAAGTTAACTGAAGTTATGTAAAGAAAAGGGCTTCTATTCCTCTCTGTATTTCTTATCATATTTCAATTTTTAACTAAGGAATCTTTTCCGCATATTCCACATAAGTTTTATTCTCGATTACGATAATATGGGTAATGCAATATCTTATATAAGATTTTTTTAGTATCTCTTCCATGTATTCTTTGACTAGAATCTAAAGTCAACCTCATCTCTCTTAATGTTTACTCCATTATAAAATAAATTTCAAATTAATAATCTCTGTCAAAACAAAATCAATTGAAGTTGTGTAAAGAATAAGGATTCTATTTCTCTCTCTATTTCTTACCATTTTTCAATTTTTAACCAAGGAATCTTTTCCACATGTATTTATCAGGTTTTATTTTCTATTATGATAATATGGATAGTGCAATACGATATCTTATATACGATTTCTTCAGTACCTCTTCCATATATTCTTTGATTAGAATCTAAAATCGACTTCATTTCTTTTAATGTTTACTCTTATAGAATAATTTTTACATTAATAATCTATCAAAACAAAATCGATTAAAGTTATGTAAAGAATAAAGTTTCTATTTCTCTCTGTATTTCTTATATCTCCATATTTCAACTTTTAATTAAAAGAAATTTTTTCCACATGTATTTTTCAGGTTTTATTCTCTATTATGATAATATGGGTAATGCAATATCTTAGATAACGATACAACTCCATTCAAGTCGTGTCGAAGAGATGCATATTATTGTTGGATAATCGCGCTACAATGGAGAACGTTTCGAGGATGGAGGCCGTTGCTGCATACGGAGGCTCGGTTTCGCTGCACGCTTCGCCAACTCAGAATCGCGGGTTTTGCACATTTAGCCGAAGGCGAGACGACGCCTTCGTGCCCGAGCGAACGTCATCGGCGGACGTTCGAATTACGGTACCCGGCATACCGATCTCTACTACCTCGGGAAGTTCTCCAGGCATTGCGTCCATACGTTGGCCGCCTATAACCGCCTCTATTCGGCCTACTCATAGGCCGCATGCCTACGAGGCGACCACGCTTGTGAATAATTCAGCGCGTGTCACCTTGAGCGACGAGCAACGCGTAGGCAGAGAAAAAGAGATAGAGAAGTAGAGAGAGAGAGAGAGAGAGAGAGAGAGAATCTCCAAGACGTGCTCTTTTCCTTTCGTAGACCACGAGCGGACAAATTTGTAATGTCCTGCGGATAGTGTTGAATGTTCGAGTACTCGTACGTTGAATATAAACGACCGGTGGCGATTATTATCGAGCTCGTCGGACGAGCAAGAGCGCCGCGACGTTTCCTCGTTTGCCTGCACTTTAATGAACACACAATAAAGAATTTATTATTATTATTACTTGACAGTTATATGCTTTTATTTTGTGTTAGAAAAGATTATTCCCAGACAGCACAAGGATGTCCTTAGGACGTCCAAAGGGCATCCAGGACATACATGTAGGATATCCTGAGGATATCCTATTTTAATCCTCGGATCTCCTCTGGATGTCCTGAGGAAGAGTAAATGATAGCCGTACACTAGCCTCTGGAGAATCCAGGGAGATCCTGTGGAACATCTTAAGGATTTCTATAGGATATGTTAGGGATATTTTTCATACGTTAAAAGGAACAAATTCTAAAATTTAAATATAAATTAAGATTGCGTTCTGTTATTTACTGCCAATACTAAAAATCTAATACTAAAAATAGTTCACGTTCTTTAATATTTGAGGTTTTCGTGCTGTACATGAATATTTTAGGTTTGGCTTCCGGGTTTGAGTCGTGTAATATTTTCAAAACAATCCAATATCTGAATTCCCTATGTTGGGATTGCATCAGAAATTGAACTGATAAAAAATAATTATATTTTTAATTTCCTGTTAGTTGCTCTTTGCAAGCTTTATATAATTCTCATGACCAAATCTCAAATACGAGTTTGCGCGTTGCATAGCGGTAAACAAACGAACTAGCGGTTGAATACTATTTTTTGTAAAGTTTTTGGAATGTTGCGCATAGTAACATTTCTCATAAATTATTAAATAAATAATAATTTTGAATATGTGAAAATGTGCGCATCAAATTCAATTATTAATATTAAACGAAATTAATGTTAACAGTTAATTGCACATGTATATGTCCTCTGGAAATCCAAAGGACATTCAATATAATAGACAGGGCAGGTATCCTACAGACATCCAGGGGTTATCCAATGGACATTTATAGGACATTAATACTTATTACAATACTTAAAATTTCTAAATTATATTAAATAGCCTACATAACCGAAAGTAATCATGTATGCATATTAAATTTTCATAAAATATATTTATAATAATATCTTAAAACATCCTACAAATATCCTGAACCATCCTGGACATATTCAGGATGATCCTGAGGACGTTTTGTGCTGTCTGGGTTATAAACAAAATTAAGAGTAAAATACAATGATAAACGTGAGATACTAGATATATACATGAGATAACTGAAATCTATGGAATGTATGAGACAAGCGTGGAATGAAACTTTTTCTTAATGATTTTCGATCTTTCACAGTCCGGTTTGAAAAATCTGATTGTCTAAAGATAGTAAAGATTTATAGTGATTTCTCTCTCCTTTTCTCTTGCAGTCGACAAGAAGCGGAGAGAAATGATTTTGATAGACTATTGCAAGTGCTATTGTTTAGAGTTTTGATAACATGCGATGCCTTCAATCTTACGCTTCGCACTTGGATACTAATACTTTCTCCAAAGGCTCGTAAAGCTTTCTCCTTCGGTTGATCGGAGATTCGAAAGAATCATATGTCCGACAAAACCGATTGTGCACGCGTAATCAATATAGCTGTTTATTGTCACTTCAATTTAATTTATCTAGATTTCAATCTATATTTAATCGTTTATAGAGTTGCATGTAAACTCATGAAAGTTTACGCAGACTTCCGATTGTCATTACAATCCATTGTGCGAATTGTAATGCACGCTGTATAAAAACTTAATTATTATGATATATATATATATATATTTTTTTTTAATACAATATTACATAAATAACTGTACGAATAAATGCTTCGTTATGTCGAACGCGTTTCGCGCCCGCACCGGGCCGAGGAACGTAAAGCCCGGAAAGTCGAGTTGCGCTCCGGAGAAAGTAGTTTCGATGTATAAATAATAAAATGTACGCGTACGATTTTATCCCGTCTTCACGTAACCGTTAATACGACTTTTAAGCAGTCGGTCTCGCTTACTCGCAGATAGAGATGTGTAACATCACGCGCACGTAGAGTTAACGCCGAGGGCGATCAGCGACGGGGTAATCACGCAGGCATATTACACATCTTGTTTCCCTTTCTCTCTGTAAAATTATCCGCGAGAAATCCGGGCGATTCTCAACACCGCCAGACGAAGCATAAAACAAGCCGTTACCTCATTCAAGATTCCTCTCCGTGTTTTGTTATGTGGAACGATGCGATAAATAAAATATGTAATAAAATAATTCGATGATGTTACATATTATCGTAGAAAAATATCCTTACAATTTTTAAACGAGGTAACATAAAATAAAGATTAGTATGAAAATCTTGAGCTATCTTGTTATGTATAATGGGAATTCCAATATACCGTAAAATGAATATACATCGCACATCAGCATCGGTAATGTTGCGCGTCAGAGCGAAAAAAAATAATGCGGCGTCATCAAATATTTAAGGAGATAGTTCCTCAAGATTATTTTTGGCATTCTCAAGAGATTCCCGTTTTTTTTTTCATATTCTTGCTTAATTAATTTTCGAAACATCGAAGATTTGTTGTATTCTGCTGCAAAGGCGCATATGATAATTCCCTCTGATATGTTATCAAGAGTTATATAGTTATCAAGAGTTATATTTTATAGTTGCATTATTACGTTATTACGTTATTATAATATATAAATTGAATGTTCATGATCTTTTTCTCCACGCCCAATTATTTTATTTGCTTTACTACATTTTATAGTGCGGCGAAGACTCTTTCTGAGAAAGATCGCGCGTAAGATTCGTATCGTGCAAGAAAAAGAACTTGTAAGGAATTTTACTCACCCTGTGGGGATAGGCGAGGTGCCACGTGACGTTGAAATTGCTTCCTGCCAGTAACGATGTCTTGACATGGCCTGGAAGACGAAATGTGGAATATTAAAATTAAACTATGTCCCTTAGTAGGTTTCGTATAACCGGACAATGATAGATCGTCGAAATTAATTAATTCCGAAAATTCATCACCGTTAAATGTCGCAGCGCTGATACTGGCCTCGTTCGGCTCGCGACCTGTTTCGGAGGTCATGTACCTTTAACGCCGAATATACATCGCGATCCAAAAGCACTTTGAAAATACCTGTCTTTCGTCTATTAATTATTCAATCTTTTATAAAATATTCTTTCAAACGCTAGGTGAAGCTTTGAAATCAAATCATATAATCGTAGACACATCGAGTAAGATTTTACCTCATCTTGAAAATATTGTAAGATGAAATGTCTGTATATAAACGAATTTAATTGTTTAATGAAGATTAATAAAATTCATTGCGATTAAAAAATGGAAAATATATTCTTCTATTTCTATCAATTTCTTCGGAAGACAACTTGCTAGTTGATAACTAGCAATTTCATCATATGTACAATTATGTCAATATTTTATGTAGCCTCGTTTTTTACTGTTACTGGCAGTAAATATCAGAACGAAGCCGTGATATCGTTTTCCGATTCTTTTTTTTTTTCTACTATAATGATTATATTCTATATTGGATGTACAAAACCTTTTAGCGAACGGCTTTCATGCAGGAGACGCGGCGAATCCGCAAAGCTTACGCGCTAATTTAATATAAATGCAAATAACTGATTACCCTCCGGTACTTTTAATCAACTTTTCCAGTATTGTGTCAGACCAGTCTCTTCCGCTTCCCCGAGCGTCTCCGGAAGGAAAGCGGTTCTTCTCTTCCATTGACCGAGCGGAGTCGTCGGAGCGGCTCGATTAAATTACGATCGCGGAAAGAAAAATTTATAGCCACACACCAGTCGGTACGCATATCGTTAACGCGATTATAAAAGCAGTCGAGTCAAACTTTGGATTATTTTCTATTCAATATAAAAATTCTGAATAAAATTAAAATTTGGAAGAAACGACGAGAGAAGAAATGCGAATGTCGAGAAATAATGTAACTCGATCGTAATCGAACGGCGAATCGGGGAAACTGGAAAGAAACGAATTACGTAGTGTAATCTTTTAATCTATCAATCGCGTTGTGAAGTCGATTAAATGTCACTGAACAACTACACGTCCGAGCGTACAATTTTCCACGACCAGTTATACGACTTTTTCGCAATTTCGTGCGACATGTGAGAAAACGTGAGCTACGCTCGCGAGAAGCAAGACGATACAAATTAATCGCTGCGCCAAAGATGGAAAAGAGTAAATGAGAGCGGAAAGAAGCCCGCGGAGTAGATTCGTCATCTCCCTTTGTTAAGACGCACAGATAATTCGCGTTACCCGACAACGTAATGATATAGGTCTTTCTTTCCCCGTTGCTTATGTAACAACCAGTGCGGTGCCATTTATGGCGTGGTCTTAATTACGGTTTCGCAAGGGAAAATGAAGGATCTCCGACGACATCGGACAAGGTGGGTAATTGTAACAATGTTCTTGTATCTCATGTTTACAACCTCGCACGGTGCAACAATGTGAAAACGTGCAGTCATAATCTCTCTGTTCTCAACTTTTCACTCCATTGGACTCGCCATTAAATTGATGCTAAAAAATTAAAAACAAATTTAAAAATCAAGAAAGAAATATTAAGTGAATTTTCACACATGACATGTTCAGATATTATATTTTATAGTAGGGTGTTTTTACTCTCAAATCTTGTAAATAGTTCTCTGAAAATTCCCTGATCTTCCAAGTATTTTTATTCAAAATTCCAGTAAAGAGAACATTTTCAAGATTTCTTGGCGCAATTTTCTAAAATAAAATTTTTTATCGTATGCTTTTTTAAATGCTAGATTTTCAAATGTACTGAAAAAAATTGAATAGCTTTCGTAAGATAAATATTTTTCACTTGTATAACATTTTCTCATTTTTTGTCATTAAAAATTACAATAAAGAATATGTATTGCATATTCAATATTTTGTTAAGGCATTGAATGTGTACACAGAAATATATATTTTAAATACATAATTCACAACTTGGCTTATTGGTGGATTGTCGACTGCTTACAATATAAAAGCAAAATTATCAAAAAGAGAATTTTTTTAAAAATTTCTTGGATCCCAAAAATAAAATTCTATGAAAATTCTTTGATTTTTCTAGATACAAAAGAAATCTCCGAGAACTCTAGATTTTCCATATTTTTCTAGGGAATAAAATTATAATTGTATAATTATATATTGACCCTGAAGAGGAAGCTTCCATTATTTTATTAATTCGTCAGATTAAATATTCAATTAATTATTGTGGCACTATTTCTTTATATTGATATTTTACACATTTTTACTTTATATTTCAATACGAATTATTATACAGGCATATCATATCATTCTTTAAAATTTTCTTTTTTGGAAAAGATCCGTTTGACTCTAATTCCCTTCTATCTAGATGCGATTTTGAATATTGACAGTTAGGATACACGTAAAACGTGGAAGATAATACCCGCGAGTACCGAGAGGTTCGCGCTCCCTTCATGCAAGCCGGTGAAAGTCGCTTCGAATCGTACTGACTGGCTATCTCCACCGGGATAAAAGGAGACAGAGAGATCGACTGAAACTTCACGTTAATGTCGTTTTCCCATGGAATCTATGGATCCCCCTCCTCTTAACATTATTCTCCCGCTTTATCCCGCACGTTTAACCCCTCCTTTCTTTTCGCCGATTCTCCGGAGACGCGGAGATTCTCTAACGAAAATCCTTTGCACAGAACAGCGTTTAAGTAGCCAGCTATCGGGAGGGGGTTCTGAGGGGGAACCTGATTTCATCGCGCGCGTATTCCACCTGACATTCCATCGAAGGCTGAAGTACGTTTCGAAATCGCGATGGCGAAAGTACTCGAGTCTACTGAGATTGCGATATTTAGCGCACAGTCAATTAAATTAAATTCTTTACTAATTAGTTAATATCCCTTAACTTCTCCATCCATGTATATAATGCAATTTCGCATTTCATTGAAGGCTTGAGTATATCTCGAAAACAAAGTAATAATAGCCTCCGCGCACTTTCCCGATATTCACAAAAAAAAAATATAATTAATACATATTTTTCCAATATAATTATTAATTTTCCAATATAATTATTAATTGATGTTTATCATAAATAATTACGACAAAAGGCTGTATGAAGATTTCAACACATAATCATGAAACTATAATACTTTTTCTCGCGCTCGAAACAACTTAATGATAACTTTCGTTAAATAATGACCCGTGAGACAACCCATATATTTCATTAGCAATTAAGCCTGAATACTCTAATGACGTGTGAGCATCTTCTTATAAACCGTCCCTCCCAAATTAATCTCCACTTACATTTTTTCACTGTACAATCAAATATTGATATTCGTCCGTTGAGAAAACAAAATTGATTCTAAATTGAGCGTTAAGAAATTTCAATGAAAGGAATGAAAGGAGACGCGCGAGATATTATACCCCGATGGACTAATAATAATAGTAATCATCGTAAATACACTCACCACGCGGCATGCCGCACGGTGGCGGCGTTCTGGCGTTATCCAGAAAGTCCAGATCGTACTGTCTGGCCGGCGGAAACGTCAGTGCCACGTGAGCCCGCGCGGTTTTCCAGGACGTCGTCGCCAGCATCAGCAGCAACGACGTCAGACACGACGGGAGTAGCGCCGAGTTCCGTTCCGTTCTCCGCGACATCCTTCCGTAATTTCGTTCAGGGGAGGAAATTAGTCTCTGTTTACTCGGTAAGAAGAGGAGGAGGGGAAAGGGGAGAGAGATGATGTTCCTTCCGATGTCACGGCCCTTCCGCGTTCACCGGCGATATTTCTTCTCGCGCTTCTGAGATGAATTCTTCCGAGCCCAGCATGAGCGTCCAGTCGCTCGGTGCTCGCTCCGGTGAGGCCAATCTGAAAGCCGAGCGATGAACTTTGTTATTTTACGATCGATCCTCGATCTCGATCAGAGCGAGAAATCGACGGCTACAGTCGTACTTTTCCTCTCGCGATCTGGATCTGAATACACGAGGAAACATGTATTATTTTCTCTTAGGATCCTATTTTCATGCCAATATTAATGTTGGAGGTAATAAAATCAGGGCACATTTAACAAGGTAACTTAGTGTTAATTAAAAAATTGAGACAATTGAAGATAATTCAGGGAAAGAATGATCTGACTCCGTAATTCCTAAGGTTTCTATTTTTATATTCAAATAGACATTACTTATTCTATTCTATTCCGAGAATTTCGATTATGTTGAGTAGTTCGATCGTATAATAATATCTTGAAGAAAAGGAAGGCAAGCGAAAAGGTAAACATGGTAAAAGTTTCACTCGTCAAGAAATGATAAAAAGTGGAAATCTTCGCATAAGTTTGTTGAAATCGTATCCGAGCAACTTTTTTCGGTATGCAAGCCCGTAAGATTTGAATAAGGAGAAGATTTGCGTGAGATATACGAAAGGTGAAAAGTGAAGACGTGTTCACTGTGTGAATTACATGATCGACCGCTTTTGCCTGTTAATTCGCTCGCTCATGAAGATACGTGGGAAATCACTTGTGCGAAGAAAGATTTTTCACGTATGCGAAGAATCGTGGCGAGGGGGGGGGGGGGGGAAGGAGATGGGCTCGCACATATTTGATATATTTAATTATGGGAAACTTGATGCGCATGTTGCTTTGTGCCTATATATAAATAGAAAAAAAATGTATTATTATTTTCTTTACAGATATCCGATTTGAATAGAGAATTATATTTACAGATATTTAAATCCTGATTAATCGATCGTTTAAAACTTAAAATTGAGTCGAATAAAAAAATAATTGAATATGCAAAGTAAAATAGTTTTGTAAGGAAAGATGCTCAGCGATAATGAGACATATTTCTGTCATATGTCAGTACATAGGGGAGAGATTTAGTAATGATGAAGAGCATCTCTCTGTGTATTTTACCGGAAACATACTAATAGAACACGAGATACACCTACGTAAGTACACTCGCAGCAAGCCGCCGGTAGCTTTCGCCGTGTTTCGTTTTTCTTTACACAACTCGCGTGCCCGTTAATCAGCGACGATGTACATTGGTATGCCAGATGCGAGAACGTAATAATTGCAAAATAAACACGTAACAAGTATATCAGAAGAAGAGTCTGACGTGTGCTCGGCGCGGCGTGGAGAAGACAGGTGAACGAGGTGGAGGTGGTGCTTGAAAGAGAGAGAGAAGGAGAAGCAGCAGCAACAGCATACTTTTCCTTGACGTGCCATCGATCCTCGCGATCGTGCTCAGCGAGTCGGGATCTTGCGAATCGCATAATTCGAAGGATACTCGCATCTCGACCTCCTTGCCATTACCTTCGCCGTTTCCCTTGACGGGGCAGAAGGACGCGTGGAAAAGGAATGATTATCGGGATGAGCGAAGAAAGAGAGAGAAAGAGAGGCTATATGTAATTTCTATATGTAGTTTTTTTATCGGAAAGAGAGAAATGTCGAAAAATAAAATTATTAAATATCGCATTCATTTCCGCGACTAGTTCACGACAAAAGCCCTTTGTAAAAAAGCGGTTCGCATCGCGTCATCTCTAAACCAGGACGGGACTGGCATGCGAAACTGATTACATCCTTCCCGAATCTCTTCTCGGTAGTGTGAATTCTTCTATTATAGAGTCACGGTTGAATTCTTGTTAGATCATTTTCGAACTGAATCTTTTTATTGTGAAGCTATTCGTCAATTACGATCTTTTATTCTCATACATTTTTTTGAGAAAATTGATTTTTGAATATATTCCCAGATAGCACAAACTTATTTTCTCTATAAATATTCTATAAATCCTTCAGTGAATATTTGAATTCTAAATATTATTCTAATAAAGTGAAAAAAACTATGAATCTGCATAGAACTTTAAAATGAGATCGTTCTAAATACAATGTTCTAAGCAGATTTATGAAATATTCTTTTACGGCGAACATGAGAATATTCTACAAAGTTTCATAGATAATTCTATAAGAATATCCTCAAAATAGTATATTTGACGCTAAATAGAAGAGTCAACGAATATATTCCCATACAGCACACAAAGATTGCATACATATTGTAGCAATCTAAAAATAGAAAGCGCAAGATTTTTACATGACGTCCAATGACAAAAAATATTAACACATCAACTTTCTTATTAAAATATGTATGTATAATCAAGAGTTTAGAGACCTTTAATTTTTTTTTCTCTAGGTACAAGATGTGAAAACACGCAAAAATGTGTAAGCTAACTTCTATCTGTATTTGATATTCGGAATTAATTTATTCGCGCTATTACTTTCTCTATCAAAGCAATCGTAATTTTACATTCCTGATTAACGAAGATTAGCAGAGATTGGATTTCGCAACGCGAATTCCTCTCGAGATAGTCGTTTGTTTCTTGCGAGTATGTAAAGCGTATGCATACTTTCCATAGCGCGCGTATATTATTTGCGGCGTACATAGGCACGCTCATGAGTCATCAAAGTCGAGATACCGCGCGTCGAGGTACGTGCGTACGTCCGGATCGGTGACGAACAATGGGCACGTAGCAGTCAGTAATTATCTCGTCGTTAATTCCGCCCCATGTTTTTCACCTCACGCGAGATTCCATGAGAGGCGACCACACGCGGAAAGCAAGCCGAGTCTCCCGAAAGGAACCCTCGACGATACGCAAATATGGAGCGAGTGACAGCTTTGTTTGTTATTTATTCAGTATCGATCGAGTTTATTGAATAAACGGAAGTATCTCGATCACGTTTAAGCATTGCATCGCAAAGAGAGCACAGCTCCTGTGCCAACGGCGTCTTTGCATATCAAAGAGACCGATAAACGACGCGGCGACGCGGCGACGCGTTCGCGAATGAACATTGCCTTGTCAAGAACTTGTCACGCGAACGGAATCAAACAGCGTGAAAATATCACGGATTGAAACCACCTGCGCGTTACAGGATTTGCTGGAACAGATGACACATCGGCGCCGATGGCGATGAACGGTCCCATTCAGGTATTGGATTTTCACGTGGGAAACATAAACGCGAGATGGAATATATATACTAAATATATACACACAAAGAGAGCGTGGAGCATTGTTTTCCGGTGAGGATATATCAAGAGAAGCTAATTACTATGGAAAAGAAGAGGATTGTTTGTTTAAAGAGTAATTAAGGAATTCGCATCGTACGTTAAATCTGAATTGAAATTTGGTCGAGACAGATGGTAAAATATCATATAATTGATATAAGAGAAGAAAATTATCCTAAACAAATATCTTACAAATATCTAATTAATAGAAAAACATATTGATATGTAAGAAAAAATTAATTTACCGAATTTCATGTTATAAACTCTATGTTAGACTTGTATTATCAAAATCCGATGGAGAAGCAGGAAAATTTCAAATATGTCAAAGCAAAGATTCGAAACCAAAAGGTTTGACTATGTTTGGCATAAACGGGATATTTTCATTCTTCGCTCGCGGCAGGCAAGAATTCCATAGCGTTTTGATGGAGTTCGTTCCCTCCGATGACCTTGCTCGAGACGGCGAGAAGTACAAATACGTAAAAATAGCAGGTATTACGGAATCGTTCAGCACGGAACAGAAACACGCGAGAGAGCTCGAAATTATTATCGATTTCGCGTGCCAGGAAATGGACGATCATCTGGCAGGAGCTGTCAACGCGTTCGTAGCGAAATTGATGCGAGCGATAAATAATTGATAAATCGCATTGATGAAGATAAACCGCATGCGGTCCTCGTGGAAGAAGAAGGAAGATAAACATAAAAGAGATGGCTATATATCTTTCCTCGTCAATCTCATGCGGCCCGTCTTTATTAATGCAAGTCATTTATTGTCGATATGGATGCATAGATGTATTAATACACGAAAGCATTTATTACTTTAAAATTATGATAAAACTAATCGATACGGACAATGAAAAAGAATAATTATCCCGATATCAAATTTATCTTAAGAAAAGACAAGAAGTTGAGGGATTTTAGAACCTATTTGAATAAAAAATTATTTTAAATTTGCTGACTGGCGTGCATAAGCATTTCAGAAATTCGTGTATATGACTAATGCACACAAATTCGATTAGTCACCAAAAATTCTTGATCTCACACAGCCAGATATATATATTAGAAAAGATGAACAATTTCAATGTGCGCGTCAAAGACTACATTTAAACACGTCTCGTCATAGAATATTGTTTTACATGTACCAATCTTTAGCATCCGATAGTCTCGATCTCCAGAAGATCGGCGATTGATCGACTAAAAAAGATCAGAAAATAAATTATAATATGCAGGGTATTCCAGGTCAAGTCAATAAAATTTCAGTCTTATAAGAAATTGAATTTGGAACAAAAAAATTCCTATAAACATAGATCCGAAAACGCTTCGTTGAAAAGTTATAGCTAATAAACTTCGAAAATTTATATGTTTTTGATGAGTTTTAAAAAGAACTTCAAAACTCTATTCATTTGAAAAAAGTAACAAAATAAATCTGATGGATAATTAAATAACAAACTAAATTATATCACTTTCATTTAATTCTAATAAGGCATTCAAAAGAAAATAACCTCAAAACAACGAAAAAAGCAGAAACTTGAAAAAAACCACTTTTCGATAGTCTTTGTGTAAACACTACATTCGTAATGCAAACATTGCAAATGCAAACATAAAAATGATCTTATTAAATTTTGATTAACTAATTACTTACAGAGAGTTTATTAGCTATAACTTTTTAACGAAGCGTTTCCGGATCTATATTTATAGGATCTTTTTTTTTGTTCCAAATTCAATTTCCTATAAGACCCTGAAGTTTCATTGACCTGACTTGAAACACCGTGTATGATATAACACAAAATTTAAATTGGACAATTAAAAAAAAAACTTGTCTAATAAGGCCAATCTTTCTCATTGATACGTCACAGCCCGCGTGCACACGGCGAGCGGCATAAACAAGAGAGCGGCGACGGGAGGTTGCAGGGCGAGAAGAAAAGGTAATGGAGATTAAGACCGCAACGCGTACGTGGAACGGTTCTCCTTCGTTAACGTCCTGGAAAGCTACCCGGCATTCCGGCGAATGCCATTGATCCCGTCCCGTTGCCGGTTTCGGAACTCGCCGTCGCCGTCGCGGCGAAGGGCGAAAGGAAATGACGAATGCGGAAGTCGGCGCGACGCCGGAAGTGGCAGGTGTCCTTCGCTCTAATCGCACTTCGGATTCGAGGGCTTCGCTATTGTGTTTGCGTCGCCAAACTGATTCGCGCGTCCCTGAGATTTTTTTTTTCTCAATTCTAACGACGGTGTTTTCCCCGGAGAGTACAGCTTAATTGCTCGTGTAATTGCGAACGTTGTCTAACATTAATGCATTCACGATGGCGCTAGATATCAGATGATGCTTAATGGAAGTCGGGAATTTTACGTGGAATTTAAAAGTTACATTTAATCACAGGATACATGCGAAACAGGAGTACGTGGTATCATTAATTTTAAATTAATGATACTATATTATATAATTATGTGAAAATCAGTTATAAATTTATATTAATGAGCCTCTTTATTTTAAAATTCTGCCCCGATTATTAATGTAAAACCATTTAATTCTTTTTAGTAGCAAATAGATATATATACATGGAGGAAATATTATTTATATCGATCAAAACAAAACAAAACAAAAAAAAAAAAAAAAAAAATGCCTTTGATCTATATTCTTCATCTACTCGCACACCTTCACTGATGCAATTTTCTTACTACACAAAGGCATTATTGAAAAATATGATCGACCTAAAAAAAAAAGTTGATTCAAGCAGACTCAACGACGCCGTGCCGATTGTCGACTCGATATCGAATTATTCGACGACATTCCTCGAACGGCCTTGGCCGCTCGAACGCGTTTCTGTCGATCGCGCTCGTTTGCAACTTCGCGGCTCTCTTACCTGGACCGGCGCAGCGGTCGCGATGTTATCTCGCGAACGCAAGAGGAGGAGGCGGAGGAGACACACAGTGCGGTGAGAAAGGAGAGCGAGGGGGGAGGGGGGGGGGCGAGGGAGCGATGAGGGGGAAGTCGCAGGGGGAGACGCTTATGGAGAACACGCCGCTGCGATGTATTATGGAGAGCGAGTCCGGCATTCCAAGCGAGCGTCGTCGAACTCATTAACATCCCGTTCTCGTTGGCCGTCGGCGTTTGCCGTTCCGTTTTCCCTCGAAATAAACAAACCCGATACTCGATACCCGATGTTACGACACGGGACTGAATAAGAGAACGGTATAATACGGCTGGCTGTGTTTCGTGACGTTCGATGGAAGAATCCTCCGACGAGGATTTCACTCCGCGATAAAGACACTTGAAATTGGAGATTGCGACCGATACGATCGGTCCCCTATCATTTTATCTCGTTAGCCTCTCGGTATATTTAATGAAGTAACCGTAATCAGGTCCGTGCGACAATCCCTTTCCTCTCAACGCAAATATAAATATTGCACAAATTGAATTTATATCTCTTCAATTTAACACAATTTAAATAATATACGATTATTTATGAACAATCAAAAGTCATATATTCTTGAAATTTATCCATCTTTTTATCGATTAGCTGCAAATTTAAAATGCGTCAATAGATCGATTTTTCGTAATTGAGAAAAAACGAGGCGATATTTTTTAATTTTATTTATATAAATTATTTAATAAATTTATTGTATAAATTGATAACAGTCGAGCTCTAATTTTAGTCTCTTTACATGTTGAGTTTGACGATACAGTCACGGTTTTCTATTTATTATTAAACGGATATACATAAACTCTATCCCATAACTTTAATATTTTATCCGCTTTGATTCAAAACATTATTTAAAAGCGAGAAATGTCAGAAGACGTTACTTTCTCGCGTTCTGTTTATTCTGAAATCGAAAGGCGAGAATTGATGAGCGTTTCGCGCTAAAGAGCGCTACGAGTGATACTCGACTCCCATGGTTTACACTTGCGTCATGTTTGAGACGGCAGCTAACATCAACATATTTCTCATGGAGAACGTAACCAGCGACGGTGGATGCCGTCGACCTCGTAGCGAGAGTCGATGTTATCGCGCGTTACGCCTGTTCATTCAACACCGTCCCCAGGATTATTCACAAACAGGCGTAACTCCGCAAGAGAGAGCGAAACTCGAGTAAAAAAAAAAAAAAAAAAAAAAAAAAAAAAACCCCGCACACCCAAAAAAAATTCATTGAGCTTACACCTCTCAAAAACGCTCGTGCAATCGCGATGATATCTTTTTCTTTCTTTCTCTCTCACTCACTCTCTCGCTCGCTCTTTCTCTCTCTCTCTCTCTCTCTCTCTCTCTCTCTCTCTCTCTCTCTCTAAAAATATAAGCATTTGCTATAGACATTGTATAAATACACCATACATTTTGTATATCCGCATTATTTTAGTATAAATAAAAAAAAAAATAAAATAAAATAAAAATCCCGTGCATCCGAAGAAAAGGCGATTTACAAAGCAAATTTTAAATTCAAATTACCCGCGGCTCTCGAGCCGTTGTTCCTGTTTCTTCCGCGGGAGATCCTATCCAAGACGTCCCCGCGCCGTCATCATCGTCGAGAATAAACGCCTCGCGAAAACGGTGTATCACGAGGAGAGCGGGGGCCTCGACCGTGAAGAAGATCCCAGGACACTCGGATAACTTCCTCCTTAGCGCGCGGCCATTTTGGTAGCCGTCGACCGGATGTATGCGTTACACGATCGCGGAGGAAAGAGAAACCGATGCAGTGAGTTCGCGAGATGCAGCGGCAACGGAGGATAATAAGACACGACGAAGACCACCACTAGACCGCGGAATCGCGTAGTCGACTGACGGATCGGCTTCTACTACTCGCCAGCGAGCGAAAACTTACTTTGCGCTCTCCCACCATCTCACCTCGCCGAGGACTCGCTCGCCCGCTTTCTTACCTGACTGCCTGACTGCCTGCCCGCTCTCTCCCCCTGCGTTGCTCGCACGTTCGAATACCTGCCTTCCTTGGGCGAGCGAGAGCCCGTAGCTTGAAAACTCCGATGGGATGAATTATATGCCGTGGAGGAGACGCGCGTCTCCTCCCGGACCTTTACTCTATCCGCCGTGTGACAAATTCGATGTCCGCACCGCGGGAGTTCTTGCGCTCTTTTGTTTCTCGCGAAACAACAGTCCCTCATATCTGTCCGCGATTTCTACAACTGTGTAAATCGCGCTCGTTTCTTTCCTCGCGTTCGCGATGATGAATCGTAAACGTGCATGTGGCTTTCGCGTCTGATTGTAAACAAATTTTAGACGAGACAATCGACTCGGTTAAACTTAAGATTTCTAAAATGTGAAAAGCATGAGATTACAAGGTTAGACAGGTACTGTTGGCTTACGTATGAAGCAATATAAATTATAAATACGAAAATAAATAATCTTACAACATATGAGACTGGCCACCGGAGGAATTTCGATTGCGCGATACCGTAAGCCGGGCAATTTTATGCTTACAAGATAACCGAGATACAAGAGAGAAAGAGCAACCGATGCGGTGACAACGTTGCGACAGTTGATGTCAATGTTTAGAAATATCCTAGATTCTAATGAATCATAAATATGCAATATATGCGGTTTTGCCGGTTACGAAAACCGGCAGTTTAACACAAGATAACATGATAAATAATCATTGTATCGTATGCAAAGCATATATAAATTTTCTTCTCGCACGAATACATGAACGTATTTTTTAATGAAAATCTTAATTCATTGCATAATTCATCGTTAGGAGAAAATCGGAAAGTTCAAACATTTGATTTGCGAATTATGCCTATTTTTTTCACGACACAAAAGTATGAAAACTGTACCGTGTGCCATTTCCGTAAGCTTGAATTACCTTGAAACACTCGGCGCGTTGCGTAAAATAAAAATTACATAATCCTCGCGAGAGTCGCATCTCCGATGCGTGCATTTTCCTGGTTAGAGTCGAGTTGCACTCACGCGTTGCGCGAGACCTTAAATCGTTAATTTTCCACGATTCCGAATTGCAATCGTAAGCACGAATTTAAACAGTAGTTTGGACAGTATTTTGCATAGATAATATTGAAATCCATCTAGATAATAAGATAAAACAAAATTTTATCTTAGATAAGATAAAAATGATTTATTTCAAGTTTATCTAAATAATAGATTAAATTATAAAGCACTTTATCTAGATAATATTAAGATAATATTGCTTTAAAAAAAAGTAATTAAGGAAAAATGTAGCAACTAAAATAATATATTTAGATATTTATAGACTACTATAAGCGCGAGAGCGTATTTTCCGGATATTAAATCGACCGGGCAAGTTTTTCGAGACACCCTCCCCCCCCCCCCCCCCCACCCCCCCAAACCCCCCCCCCCCTCATCACCCGAAAGCGCCATTCCTCTCGCACGTTGAATCGTGCGCCCCGGGCACGCATCGGGCACGTCATCTCTCCTCGAGTAGGTAAATTTTTCGAGCGTAGCTTTCCATTCACAGCTGTTGCGCAGTCGTTTGCGTTGGTATGCGCTCGAGAGGCGGTTGTCGAGCCGCGCGCTTTTTACGCGAGTCTCGATCGGAATGCAAAACGAGTATTATCAGCGTGACGTCGAATCGTCGATGCCATCCTCGATCGACACGCCTCGCCTTACCGTTTTTTTTTTTTTTTTTTTTTTTTTTTTGGCAAAAATTTTTCTCTCTTTCTCTGTCTATCTATCTCTGGAGATTATATTTTCGCCCCCGTCAGATAAGCGCTATCTTTTCGCGGTACTCCAGTCCTAATATCGTTATCCAACGTTATCCATAGATCAACGATCGAGGTATACGCACGCACGCACGCAGGCAGGTGCAGCCCCCCCATGTTCTTGTACGATGTCGTTTCTTACCGGTGACGCCGATCGCCGGGAGATCGGAATGGAAAGCGGGCGAGAGGGACACGCGTTGATTTTTGCTCGCAGGTACTGATGATGATTGAGCGCAGCAACCCCGGTCAATCGTTTTTTCCCGGCCTTCGTCGAGAGATTAGAATCAAGTCAATGAAGAGAGAGATGGATTGAGAAGATGGCTTCGTAAAGAAGAAAGAGAGAAGTTTTAATAGATTTGCTCTACGCAGGTTTTAATCTTTGAATAAAAAAGAAGATAAATATATAAATCTTATTTTCTTTCAAGTACGTATAGTGTATATATTACGCAACTGTGGGATTATAAGGAAGTTATTCAGCGAGACTTCTTCATCAAATTATCAAAGTTTTTTTTAGTACTCGTTACGAAACACGCGTTGCGTAGACGCTTTTATTCATTCAAGTGATTCTCAGCGTGATATAACGTGAAATGAATATCATTAAAAAGCGTCGGTAAATTAAGCAGTATCTATATTGGTTTTACTAAATAATGACGACAAGAATAATTAGGAATAAAAATCGAAATCAATGTAGTTATTTCCAAAATTACCATTTCATATTTCACGAATGACGAAAAACCTAAAAAATATACTTCGATATTTAAAAAGTCCATTATAAATTAATTGAATCGAGTTAACTTTAGAAAGGAACGTAAGCCGTTTATACAGAATGTTTTAAAAAAAAGAGTTAAAATTTTAAGATTTGGTATGCTCAAAAACAAATCGAAAAGTCTTAATAAGCATGGGTACGCAAATGAGCCGTTTCTGAGATATTTTTATTTTTTTGTTTTTGATATTTTTATCTTTATATTTTAATTTTTTTTATATTTTTATAATTTTTATTTTTTGTTAAAATATTTTTATTTTTTGTTTAAATTTTTTTTTTTATTACGATATAATATTAATTTATTTTAATATATTTATTTTTTATGCAAACAATATATTTATAATTTATGCAAAGAAATAGCACAGCTGGTGTTTAACTTTATCTTATTAGGGAAGATGCTCAAAATGACCTCCTTCCATGTATATGCAGACTGCATCTCCGCAAAAGAGAACCTCGTGCTCTTCCAAACACACTTGGGTTCATTCTGATTGTAACGTAGGCTTCTTGTACACGATGTTATAATTGTTCCAAATACACGCGAATATAGGTAAATTAAGTTAAGTTATGAGATATTGCAAATATCTCCAAAGCAGCTCATTTGCGAACTCATGTTTATTAAAACTTTTTAACTTATTTGGGGGCATACTAAATCCCCTTAAAATATTTCATTCCTTTTTTAAACATCCTGTATAAACATCTTTTGGAAAATACGAAAAAAGAAGCCTAATATCAAGAGACATATATACACTACTACGATAGTACGTATACTGCCAAAAGCAAGTAGCCGCGAGTCATGTTCTCGATCGACGAGGAATTTCGTTGACAGGACGACGAAACGGCGTAGCGGACGTACGGACGAGAAGGAAAGAGACAAGAGTCTGCTCGCTCACGCTTGTATCCTCCGAAGGCACCCGCGGCTAAAACGCGTACGAGAGGCTTTCTCCTGTGCGCGGCACGGAATGCGGCCTCTCCCTCGGTCGGCCTCGAGAAGAAGTCACGAAGGCACGTCGTCCTTCCTATCTCGTTCGTTCGCTCCCTCGCTGATCATAACGATCGCGCCGCATTACGTGTCATCGATCAATCGGCTATATGCCAGGTAGAATAGCGCGAATCTGATATGTATAGCGTTGCCATCCATCAGACGTAACGAGTGGCCTGCCTATCGCGTCGCGGTGAATGTGGATGGGAATTATAGAAAATCTTTATATTTTTACGCACACGGAAGTTCGTAGAAGCACGTGAATCTTTCCGATGGTATAAAATAAGAAGAACACGTGAATCTTTCCGATGGTGTAAAATAAGAAGAGCTAATCCTCGCGTTGAAAAAATACGACCGAAAGGATACCGCAATCTTTAGACGTTATGTAATTTTTCTTAATTTTTATATTTTCCTGTAATTTTTAATACGTCTAACTTTACGTTCTTCGTTTCTCACTTCTTGGATGAATCTGAATTCAGATAGGCATTGTCAAATTTGGCTGCAAAAGAATCGAGATAACGTTTACTTGGTACCGTTTCTCCGATAAATGTTCTTGGATGAATCTGAATTCAGATAGGCATTGTGTCAAATTTGGCTGCAAAAGAATCGAGATAACGTTTACTTGGTACCGTTTCTCCGATAAATCACAAAACTGCTGTGTATCGAGATTAAAGGTAACGATACAGAGAAAGAGAGGGAGGGAGAAGAGAGGGGCGCATTTTTTTCGGATGTGTAATTATATCGCGTAGCTACCGGCTCGGAAATCACGTTTCGCACGCGATAGTTGCGTAATCATGGCCCAGTTCACGCGTACACGTAGAGCGATGCCAATTTTCGCGCAGTGCGAAAAGAAAGGCGTGTCCAATTATATTTGCCGGTGGAGGTGCTCGGCGTGGCCTCCTCCCGAGGCTGATTCTCCTCATGATCGCGCCCATACTTCCTACATATAGATTTCTAGCTGCGTTCATGTGTAAGAAAAAGTTCTCTTCATTGCCGAACAACCATTATTTTGATATCAAATTACTTTCTTTTTTCGGTACGCGATCTGTACCTGTATCCGATTCGCACTCTAGTTCCGCCGTTCATTCGCTGTTATTGTGCATTTTTTTCTTAATTCTCTTCTCTTGTTCGTATTATAATCGTAATCATATAAGATTTGTATACAAGTGATTAGCAGTCTTTATAAAGCTTCCTTCATGTACTATGTGATCTATTACGAGTCACAAGCTTAAGACTTTGAAATATTGCTTTATACGTTATATACGTATATATCGAAATCATGATATTGCAAGGAAAACTTACATTTGTGATAATGAGGAATCCTTAAATGATGGTTGTCCATTTTGATCTCCGCCTCGTAATCCTTAATCAAGACATATAGCCACTTATTGAAAAATGTAAATTTTGGTACAATATATTCTCTCTATCACCTCTATAATCTCAACTGTTTTGAATATTCTCATTATGATACCGTTATCTTCATTTGTAAAGCAGTGATAAATATTAAAAGTAGCATTAAATAATTCAATATTTAAATATATTTCGTTGTTAATCACGTGTGATTCGTTCTAAAAATATAAATAGAAATAATTAGAGAAACGCCGTTTTTAAAGTTATTTAAAAAAAAAAGTTTGAAAATACTACATCAATATGCAAGAAATAAATTATCATCCTAAGAAGAATTGATAGATAAAAAAATAGATAGATAAAAGAAAGAGCTCTCCTATTTAGACAAGATAAGCTCGTTACGTCTTAATCGAAGACACTTGGCTTATCACATTCTATCTCAAACGTTTCTGTCATTCGAACATGCGAGTAGACATCATTCAAGATGTCGATTAAGCAATACATTTAATGGCGTATGATTGTATGCTACGCGCGTATGCTAATGATGATCTTTCGAAAGATTCAAGATCAAAGAATAAAAAATTCAAGAGGCTAATGGCTAATCTGATGTACTGTCAGATGCAACATCTTCCCCAGGAGCGTCTAATGTGGTCCTTTCAGATGAGAGAAAGCACGAATACCCTCAACGAGAAGCCATGAACTAGCTTCGCGACTGATTGTTTCTAAGAGGAGCTACTACTTTCGCTTTTTCCGCCACTCGACCGTATATTCTAATTTTCGCTCCTGTCTCGTCGCTTTTACTCAGAGATTTCCATACCGCGCGCGTCTAAAAATGAAAGCGGACAATCAATTTGTTCGACTAGATCTGGTGGTTCTAAGTACGCCGACGTTCTTTACGAATTCGTTATAGAGAAGTCGCAGGAAGAGCAGCAGTTTCCGCATCGAAAATTTATAATATATAAACAATTGTATATCGTTTCCAATGTATCAATTAGAAAGTATTTAGCTTTCGTTAATTAAAAAATTATAATTGGACAATTATTCAATCTTATGAAGCTAACGCAAAAATAAAATCACGAAACTAATTAATTGGTAACGTATAACAACACAAATTGCATTACGATGAATTAATTAACCGAAATGAACTATGCACAGGAAATATTTCGCTTTATATTTTATCCGCGTTACTTTAAAACTTTCGCCAAAAATGATCTTAAACGAAAGCGATTATCGAATTGTTTATCGGATAAAAAATGATGAAACATCGAATATATCTTCGAGAGGATAATAGCGTATAATCAGAAGATATACTCACGCTAAACAGCTTGGATTTTGCAAATGGTCGGTTGCGGAGAAAGAACATGGGCTACAGAGCCCAATATAACTGCGCATTTGTCGTATTTTCGTTTCGTAGCGGGTAATGTTGGCAACAGTGGAACAAGCAGAATTATTTTGTGTCGTCGTTATTATTATCAAATACATTAATGGGGTATTAAAAATAGAGGGACGGGCGTCCGCTGGAACGTGGCGGCGCGCGGCAATCGTCCCGGAAGAGAGCTCGCAATATTTACATAAATTAAATGAGTATTGTTTTCACGTTGTCACGCACGTAGTTCGCGCAGTCACGTGCACGTACTTTGCGTGCGTGCGAGACATGTCACAGGAAGATATTGAAAAGCGCGCGTCCAAAATTTATAGGAACTCTTCTTCTGGTGTCGTTCCTCTCGTTTTTTCCCCAAATGATCACGAGGATGACACGACGTTGAAATTCGTGAAGCATGGAAGAAGGAGTCATCAAGACACGACGCACTTTTCGGTGTCCCTCTGAGCTTGATTCGATGACGATGAGGACGCGGGCGCGCGTTTCCGCGCGCACGCCACTGCGTCGTTCGGCACGTAAGAGATTCTGACGCCCCCATAAGCTCGTCGAGGTGGCAGCGCGTAGGCCGCGGCCTCGTCCGAACTGCTGGACGAGCTGCACGTCGAACAGCAGCTCTCGACATCGTCATCCTCACCGTCTATTCTCGACTTAGACGTGCCAGCCGTCCCTGCAAACATATGTGTCGAATGAAAACAGCGCCTCTTTTTCCCAATTATAAATTTTAAAATAAAGTTATATTCCCCTTTACAAACTTCTCTATAGAATGAAGATTTTACATACCCCAGGTAGACGTGCTGGCGACTTCGTCGGGCTGCAGACTTCTCGATCGAGACACATTCGTTCTCGATAACGACATGGGCGGTGGCGAGGGTGACGACGACGAGTTTCGGTCGTTCATCGGCGAGAGAGGAATGCGCGACGTTGCGCCATGATCGTTGACATCCAGATCGCCCTGAAATCGTACGCGTCGCGACGTCGGCGTCGGCGGATCCGTCTGGTTGGCTCCGATCTCAGGACTGACCGGAGACATTGCTGACTCCTGTGCCAGTACGACGGCGGACGCCGCACCGGCGGTCGATGTCGACGCCGAAACCGACGCTCCCGACGACGGCCGCGGGGGTGGCGGCAGTTCCGGCATGCTCGACGCGTGGGAAGGTGAGCAATTCTGGATGCATCTGAGGGGTTCTCGATCCCGCGCTTGCATCAACCTGCAACGAAATTACGATCTGCAGCTTTAATGTATCCCTTGGGTGAAAACGAAAACCAGCCTAATGTATTTTATTGTATTGTATTTTAAATTTCTAAATTAATTAATTAATTTCCCCGAAATATATATCTTATTTGCCGCGTTTAAGCCTGGTATTTTTACGCTTTTAGTTTTCGAGCATATTTTATATATTATTCACATTTTATTTAGAAAGATTCACAATCGCAAAAATTCTTAGGTCGTTAATAGTTCATTAGTAAATTCTTTAATAATAAAACATTGTTACCTTCCCAACTCGCTGCGATTTTCGTCAGGATGAGAGCCTCGTTCCTGTAGCAATCTCTCGAGGTTTCGCTCCAGTAATACCCTGTCGAGGCCACTGGGCCTGGAGCCACTGGAGGGAATTCCTTCCGCGACAAACTCGGGGCTCAAGATGTTTTGAGTGGGTGTCGTCGCCAAGGAAGCAGAAACTTGTTGATGCCTTCTGGTCATCCGAGGCGAGTTTCTAGGAGATCCGAGAGTATGCCTCGAGCCTGGAGGAAGCGGAGGCGGTGGCGGTGGACTCGACGAACCTTCGCTTGTGGCCACCGTTTGCCTTCTACCGCTCCTGTGTGATGAAGAATGTTAGATATTTATTTATCATATAATTTGTTAAGTAAGAAAAAAATATATACGTGGAAAAAAATTAATTACGCGATATTTAATATTTAAAAATATTTTGAATTATATTATCTTGTGTGTATATGTATGTGTGATTTAATTTTAATAGGAAAAATATATTCTCCATCTCTTTTGTATTCTAAAATTAACTATAATATGCTGTCAGTTTATCGGGAGAGATAAGAATAGCTTTCTTTAAAATTTTTATCTCATACATCATCGAATAATTAACTTATAAAATGTCGCTTATTATTCTCATTCTGAATTTAAATAATGCTCACATTTATAGCCGACACGGTAAAAGCACACAACAATTAAAAGCATAATAAATTTTAGATACGAGATTAGAATCGCCTCGTAGACGTCTCTTAAACGATGTCGTTATGTATATAAGCTAAATTTAAAGTCAATCATGCAAGGTATCAGTGTATAAGTGACGCATTAACAAGCTAAGCGTAAATGGTTTCAACGCTTTGTCGATTTCATCAGCGATAATGTGCCATTTCGAAAGTATCATCTATAAAATGTATACCTTTTGATGGGATTGGCCATTTTAAATGCTTTATTAAGAACAATCTATATTTTAATAATTAAAAGTATAGTTATCGAATCGTTTGTTAAATATCTTGGATTTATTTAAAATATTTAAATTTTATTATATTATATATATGTATTGTATGTGTGATGGAAAGTTATTATTTAGATATATTTGAGTTAGATATATTGTGTGTATATCTTCGTGGCTCTTTAATGTCGGCAAACTTTAACGTTAGCTCGAGTCAAGAGACTCCGTGTCTTTTTCTAGCTCTGCGCTTTAAAAAGTTGGATGGCCGTTTTAGTAAAATTTATCGCCACCGTAATAATTTCTCGCAATTGCACTTCGTGCAACGGAAAGTCGGCGCGCTCGTGTAATCGCGGGACGTTCTTAACCGGCAATAATTTTTGCCGCACGCGTATCCGCGCGACCCCCGCGATCGTCGAGTTTATAGCCGGTGATAGAACAATGAAAGCAGCCCCCGTGACCCCATGCGAGAACTCGACGAGGAGGTGGTATGCGAAATAACGGCGTCGAGTATATTACCTGAGGAAGGACGGCGGGGGCGGCGGCGGCCCGGCGGAGGAGTCGCTCGGTGTCGTCGGCGGTTCTCCCTTGCTGCACGCTATGCTGCAGTAAATGGCACCACGTCGCGGCAGGAACGGCCGACCCAGGAGGGAGGCGCGGCAAGTGGCGCAGCAGAAGCAGGCCTCGGTCGCGTGCCAGTGCTGACCCTCGTGCGACATTTGGCCCTGGTCGACGCCGATCGGTTCGCCACAGCTGTCGCAGTATTCCGCGAAGGAGGCGTCGAAGCACCTGAGACAGTACGGTCGACCTTCCCGCATCACGTATCGCTGACCGCCGAGCTGCGAGCGGAAGAGAAATTAATTTATCGTGAAAGAGGTAGATGGGTTCGAGGGAGAGGCGGTAAATCCCGGCCAAAAGATAAAAAAAAAAAAAAAATAATCTAACCCAACTCATGTCCGAGGGGTGAATCTTTATTTTAAGTATTACCGTTATATTTACTATTTTCACTTTACTTATTATTCTTTATGTATGTATGTTTATTTGTTGAATTATGATGCAACAATTTTGAAATCTCGATATATTTTTTCAAAAAAAAATTAAAATTTGTTGTATTACAAAATTTGATAAAAAATCCTACGAAAATGACCTCTTGCAAAAAATTTTGAAATCTCAATATATTTTTTCAAAAAAAATTCAAATTTTGAAACATCGTTATCTCGAAAACTATTAATCGTAGCACATCGTGGTTTGCAGCATTCTTTTTCTCGGTAAAAAATCTATCAAATACACCTATAAATACACCTATCAAATTGAGGGATCCCGGAAATTAAATATACATTTTCTTTTTTCAAATATCGGATTATTTCAAATTTTCGGAGATTGTCGATTTTAGAATTAAAAAGCAATTTGAAATTAGTAGAAAAACAGAAATGTTATAAGGCATGTTATAATAAAAAAATGGCAACGCATTATTTCGAAGAATATAGAGTTATAAAATATCTCAAAGAAATAAGCATAGCTTTAGTGATAATACTAGTATACCGGTGACCGGTTATTCACTGAAGTATGTACTCTACATACAGCGGCAATCTGATAAAGCGCAGGTTCTTACGGACTTCTCGCTTCAAGCGTGCGTTTGCGATATATCGTAGACTATATTCTTCTATGCTTTCAACGGGAAAATAATTCTTATTCTATCGCATATTGTTATAAAATATAAAATAAAAAAAAGTTACATCAAATAGATTTAAATACAAAGGACTTTACCTTTTCTTGGAATTTTTCTCAAGTTTCCTGTACGCGTATGATACATATATATTCATCGGTTCACACTAAAGCGAACACCCGATGTAATGGGAGTAACGCGGAAAGCACGTTGCTTCTGTACGTTCGAGAGCGACGTTATCTAACTCGGAAGACGTATCCAGAAGATAGAGTCAGCTGGCGCGGGATTATGAATCGCTACGCGGTTGTAAATTTGATAACGACGTAATCATTAAATCCGATAGTACAACCGTGCGAGTACCGCTAGATACTTGAGAATTGACGCGGCGCCGGCGAGGAGAATTTCGTTCTCTTTACAAAACGGAATATATTTTTATATCATTTCGAATTTGCAAATGGTTGATAATTAACGCGTACATATATACAGGGTGTTCCAGATCAGGTCAATAAAACTTCAGAATTTTGTAGAAAATTGAATTTGGAACAAAAAAGTTCCGATAAACCGTAATAGGTCCGTAAACGCTTTATTAAAAAATTATAGCTAATAAACTATCTGTAAGTAACTAGTTATGATCAAAATTGATTAAGAATATTTTTATGTTTGCATTTGCAATGTTTGCACTACGAATGTAGTGTTTACACAAAGACCATCCAACCAAGAAAGGTGATTTTTTCAACTTTCTGTTTTTTTTCGTTGTTTTGAGTTTATTTTCTTTTGAACGCCTTATCAGAATTAAATAAAGTTGGTATAATTTAGTTTATTATTTAATTATCCATCAGATTTATTTTGTTATTTTTTTCAAATTAACGAAAGGATTTGAAGTTATTTTTTAAAATCATCAAAAAAACGTGATTTTTCGAAGTTTATTAACTATAACTTTTTAACAAAGTGTTTCTGGACCTATGTTTATAGGAACTTTTTTGTTGCAAGTTCAATTTCCCATAAGACCCTGAAGTTTCATTGATCTGAAACACTGTATATTTATCATTCAAACACAATTTTGAAAAATTAATCTGGAAAATTATGATTAGACTGCGGATTTTTATGTAACTACGTGTTTTTTTTAAAGCAATTTTTTAAAAAGATCGGAAAAAGAACAAAATAAGCCTTATCGAAAAAGCATTCTAAAAATGCATATTTAATTATATATTGCGCATATTTTCATATGTTCCGTGCATATGTGCATATTTTATACATATATTCGCATATATTTTATATATTTGAAAGAATTTTATGTATATTCGATACTATTTGATATTAAATTAGTGTTCCCTTTGACAAATAAATTTCTGCATAAAAATTCAAGGTCTAATTATGATCTTGCAAAATTCAAGTTCTTCTCTTATCTTATCTCGAAAGCAAATTATATAATTGTAATATCGATTCGTCCTTTTACTCCGAGAAAAACATACATCTTTGGCTTCAAATCTCGAGCGTCATCATCATCATCATATCGCCATTCCTACCTGTCGATCGCACTCGAGGCAAGCAAAGTGGCGCATGTGCCACGCTCTGCCCTCCGCCTCGGTGCACTCGTCGGCGAGGATGATCTCGTCGCAGGCGCAGCATCGAGGCTTGAGGGTCTCGGCGTGGTGGCGGCCGCAGTAAAGCCTGCCGTCCCGCCAGAAGTAGATAAGATCGACCAACAACTGTCGGCACACGCAGCAGACGAAGCAGGCGGGATGCCAGAGCGCGGCCGGTCCGGCCCGACTGGCCGCCACGGCCATCTCGCCGGCCGCGATCGCGCGCCCGCACTCGCGGCATCCGGCCCCGTGCGGACGCTCCAGCTGGCTCGCGTGTCCGCGTCCTAGGGCCTCGCGCTTCCGCTGTGCCGCGAACACGCGCAACTCGCGCTTCTCCTCCTCGGTCAGGCCGCTGCAGTAACGCGCCTCGTTGTCGTGGGGCGGTAGCTGCTGCAGCAACTGCTTCACCCGCTCGCGTTCGCCGGCGCTACCCGCGTACGGGATTTTCTCCTCCGGCAGCGCGCTGAAGTACAGATGCACCTGCGGAGGCACAAAGAGCGCCCATTAACCGGGGTTAGGTACACAGTTGAAAAATTTGTGTTCAATTTAACATATATCGCATGTATCTCAAATGGACCACGCAAATTTTTGTGTTAATTTAACATAATATGGATATGTTAAATGGTGATACTAATACTATTTTAATATTTCAATACAAAATGAATGCAAAATTCATAGTAATTTGAAATAAATTTTTTGCAAAATCAATATATTTTTAATGATAAAATTAACTTGGAAAGATGTTATTGACGGTCTGTAGTCACTCTCACTCCTATTGTGGAATAAAATCAACATTTTGTCTTGTAAATTTGTTCTGTAAATTTAACAGATAAATCCTATCGCTAATAATACGGAATATATCTATTGTGTAAAATTAAAAATAAGTGCACGTTATGTTATTTTTACACTTTTTTTCAGCTGTTTAAATAATTAAACATTAATCAACACAACAGCAATATATGTTAAATTAATACATAAATGTGTTAAATATTTAATACAAAAATTTTAACCGGCATATTTTTTAACAAGAAAACATAAATTTTCCAACTGTATACGATAGGATCCACGGAAAAATGGAGGCGTTAAAGAGATATGTATATATAACGCATGTTTCGGATATCCCGCTAGTATCGAGTCAAATCATCCGTGAATAATGATGTAAGCCTATCGCGAGAAAATTACCCTGACAGCCGCATAGTGGTTACTTTACATCGAGCGTGTGACTTTGCCATATTATGCACGTTACTAAGATTTTCTAACGGTTTTCGTAGTGCCTACACACGTGTTGCGTTGTATCTTAAAAAAAAGTAATACACATTTTTCTTTTAAGATATTTAATATTAACACATTCCCTGCCGGATCGATTTTTCCCGACTTTTCGTTTACTCCATGTTGATCGCATGCACTACACATTGTCGAAAACAATAGTTTTGCTTTATGTCTGTCTCAACACATGATTTTATAAAACATTTTATAATAATGTTACACATTATAGCGAAAATATCAAATGATCTAGGGAAAATTTAGCGTGAAACGTGTGTAATCCACCGTAAACGCTTTATTAAAAAATTATAGCTAATAAACTATCTGTAAGTAACTAGTTATGATCAAAATTGATTAAGAATATTTTTATGTTTGCATTTGCAATGTTTGCACTACGAATGTAGTGTTTACACAAAGACCATCCAACCAAGAAAGGTGATTTTTTCAACTTTCTGTTTTTTTTCGTTGTTTTGAGTTTATTTTCTTTTGAACGCCTTATCAGAATTAAATAAAGTTGGTATAATTTAGTTTATTATTTAATTATCCATCAGATTTATTTTGTTATTTTTTTCAAATTAACGAAAGGATTTGAAGTTATTTTTTAAAATCATCAAAAAAACGTGATTTTTCGAAGTTTATTAACTATAACTTTTTAACAAAGTGTTTCTGGACCTATGTTTATAGGAACTTTTTTGTTGCAAGTTCAATTTCCCATAAGACCCTGAAGTTTCATTGATCTGAAACACTGTATATTTATCATTCAAACACAATTTTGAAAAATTAATCTGGAAAATTATGATTAGACTGCGGATTTTTATGTAACTACGTGTTTTTTTTAAAGCAATTTTTTAAAAAGATCGGAAAAAGAACAAAATAAGCCTTATCGAAAAAGCATTCTAAAAATGCATATTTAATTATATATTGCGCATATTTTCATATGTTCCGTGCATATGTGCATATTTTATACATATATTCGCATATATTTTATATATTTGAAAGAATTTTATGTATATTCGATACTATTTGATATTAAATTAGTGTTCCCTTTGACAAATAAATTTCTGCATAAAAATTCAAGGTCTAATTATGATCTTGCAAAATTCAAGTTCTTCTCTTATCTTATCTCGAAAGCAAATTATATAATTGTAATATCGATTCGTCCTTTTACTCCGAGAAAAACATACATCTTTGGCTTCAAATCTCGAGCGTCATCATCATCATCATATCGCCATTCCTACCTGTCGATCGCACTCGAGGCAAGCAAAGTGGCGCATGTGCCACGCTCTGCCCTCCGCCTCGGTGCACTCGTCGGCGAGGATGATCTCGTCGCAGGCGCAGCATCGAGGCTTGAGGGTCTCGGCGTGGTGGCGGCCGCAGTAAAGCCTGCCGTCCCGCCAGAAGTAGATAAGATCGACCAACAACTGTCGGCACACGCAGCAGACGAAGCAGGCGGGATGCCAGAGCGCGGCCGGTCCGGCCCGACTGGCCGCCACGGCCATCTCGCCGGCCGCGATCGCGCGCCCGCACTCGCGGCATCCGGCCCCGTGCGGACGCTCCAGCTGGCTCGCGTGTCCGCGTCCTAGGGCCTCGCGCTTCCGCTGTGCCGCGAACACGCGCAACTCGCGCTTCTCCTCCTCGGTCAGGCCGCTGCAGTAACGCGCCTCGTTGTCGTGGGGCGGTAGCTGCTGCAGCAACTGCTTCACCCGCTCGCGTTCGCCGGCGCTACCCGCGTACGGGATTTTCTCCTCCGGCAGCGCGCTGAAGTACAGATGCACCTGCGGAGGCACAAAGAGCGCCCATTAACCGGGGTTAGGTACACAGTTGAAAAATTTGTGTTCAATTTAACATATATCGCATGTATCTCAAATGGACCACGCAAATTTTTGTGTTAATTTAACATAATATGGATATGTTAAATGGTGATACTAATACTATTTTAATATTTCAATACAAAATGAATGCAAAATTCATAGTAATTTGAAATAAATTTTTTGCAAAATCAATATATTTTTAATGATAAAATTAACTTGGAAAGATGTTATTGACGGTCTGTAGTCACTCTCACTCCTATTGTGGAATAAAATCAACATTTTGTCTTGTAAATTTGTTCTGTAAATTTAACAGATAAATCCTATCGCTAATAATACGGAATATATCTATTGTGTAAAATTAAAAATAAGTGCACGTTATGTTATTTTTACACTTTTTTTCAGCTGTTTAAATAATTAAACATTAATCAACACAACAGCAATATATGTTAAATTAATACATAAATGTGTTAAATATTTAATACAAAAATTTTAACCGGCATATTTTTTAACAAGAAAACATAAATTTTCCAACTGTATACGATAGGATCCACGGAAAAATGGAGGCGTTAAAGAGATATGTATATATAACGCATGTTTCGGATATCCCGCTAGTATCGAGTCAAATCATCCGTGAATAATGATGTAAGCCTATCGCGAGAAAATTACCCTGACAGCCGCATAGTGGTTACTTTACATCGAGCGTGTGACTTTGCCATATTATGCACGTTACTAAGATTTTCTAACGGTTTTCGTAGTGCCTACACACGTGTTGCGTTGTATCTTAAAAAAAAGTAATACACATTTTTCTTTTAAGATATTTAATATTAACACATTCCCTGCCGGATCGATTTTTCCCGACTTTTCGTTTACTCCATGTTGATCGCATGCACTACACATTGTCGAAAACAATAGTTTTGCTTTATGTCTGTCTCAACACATGATTTTATAAAACATTTTATAATAATGTTACACATTATAGCGAAAATATCAAATGATCTAGGGAAAATTTAGCGTGAAACGTGTGTAATCCACACGATAGGAAACGTGTTAATTTTATTTTAAAAAAAGTTATAAGCGCGATAACAAAATCTAAACATGCAGAATCCATTTATCCGTATGCCAGAAGACTTTCGAAGACTAGTCTTATATACGTGTGTGTCGATTATTAACAGCCGCTGACAACTGAAGCTACCAAATTGACTTCAACTGATAGTGTTTAATTTTCTATCCCTTTATAGATCGGTACATCGATACGGACAGGGGGAAAGAATTTAGTGTCAACCGCGACGTTAATCGATGGTCATTGAAATCTATCCTGCAAATTTAGATAAGTATCGGGCTGAGCACTGTTAACATACCGAAGGAACGAGTCGCGAAAGAAAAACACTGACGAATGCGTTTATATTACTGCGACCGTAAACCTGCTACAGCGAGTCCGCGCGATTCGCTGAAGGCAATAAAAAGGGCACGATAAAAAGGTACGCAGTTTCATCGAGGAACGACTGTCAACGCGAATATTTCCATAAGAATATGCCTGGAAAGCGAAACCGCGCACGCAAATTCAATAACTATCGGAATTCGCGCATAATCGAGTTTCTCCGCACGATCTAGCGGTAAATCTCTCCGTGTGTAGGGTTGCCATAATAAAATTTTCAAAACTAGAACTTATAGCTCAGAAACCCCGGACATTTCGCTTGCAACCCCGGACGTATACAAAAATGCGAATAGGTTAGCAAGTTGCTTATAACTTATAACAATAAATTAATAATTTTTTTAGATCTCATTAGTACTTAGAGTAAAAGGAATAAATTTAACATGTTTTTAATTTAAAAGAAGTTTTATTATTAGATTCACGCATAAAAATAAAAAAACAAATGGTTGATAACTTCAATTGTATTGAAGTGATTGAATATGATGTGGTTAATTAAATCTAAAAAGCAGAATATTTATGAATATTCTTAAACCCCAGACATTCATAATTACCCCGGACACATTCGAAAAATCCCCCCGGACGTCCCCGGACGCCCTAAAAAGAGGACGGTGTCCGGGGAAAAGAGGACGTATGGCAACCCTATCCGTGTGTTACGGCTCACGTGTCGGTTTACACAAGTGGCGATAGTGCTCTCGTGATGTTTTGCCGTTAAACATCACACACGTACGTCTCTTCTATTCTGTGCCAATCGTACAAAAGACAGGACTTTTGGAAAGATTCTCGATTGCGCGGTAAATTATCAATGAATGAGAAAATAATACGACGATATAAGAGTATCGATGGAGAAAAGTGGATATCTTCCGATTTGTATACAAGTTGCATATAAGTCGCTTCTAAGTACAGTATTCTCACGCACTCTCTGCGTTTTCGAGGCATCGTTCGCGCGAAAACGCAAATTGACGCAATCGTCGTGCGGCGGGGGCTTAAAAGCGCGAAAAGCTTGTTGCGCGGGATTATCGTCCCCTCGCCGAGAACGCCGAGTCATAATATATAATACGCGTTAGACGTAATGACACTTAAAATGAGTAAAGAAAACGTACGGACGAACGTTGCTGGGACAAGCTGCGAACGGGGCGCAAAAGTGGGAAATAAAAGCGAGAGAGAGAAGAGAGGAAGAAGAAGAAGAAGAAGAGAAGCGAGGGGATTTGCACGCATCGCGTCCCGAGTCGCGAAATAAACGACGGATGTTCGCGCAAAAGCCGGCACGCAGCGCTCCGAAAGAAAGGACGGGACTCTATTGCGTGCGAAACGCTCGCGCTTAAACCAATTAAAAAGAAGGATGAGTGTATTAGTTGGCTCTCTCGCAGAAGCATTGAACGTAGCAAGCATGATCCGATTGTACGCTATCGTGCGTTTAATTAAATCAAATGATAACAGCAATAGGCTCAGAGTACTAACAATTAAGTGGGAAAACTGGCAAATAAGAGCCAAGACGCAGGTATTGGTGCGCGAATTTATTATTCTCAAATTTTTGTAATAAATATGTATTTTTTTTAAATATCTGTTTCGAACGTTTTTTGGTCCATCTTCAGCATAGATATAAATAATATATAAAGATTAAATTAATATTTTAAAACTTGACATACACGATATTTGTTGTTGCAGTCAACTCCTAAATTAAAATCGATAACCAAAAAGGAAGACTCACTAAAATCCGCGTAGAGTCTGTACAAATTAGTGGATAACATTTAAACGCCATCGTCACATGTATATCCGTCGGTAGCTTACAATATAACAATAATTTATTACAAAAATTTAATAATAATAAGTTCGCGCACCAATACTCGCGAGACTCACTAAAATCCGCGTAGAGTCTGTACAAATTAGTGGATAACATTTAAACGCCATCGTCACATGTATATCCGTCGGTAGTTTACAATATAATGACCCATATATATATATATATATATAATGACCTTAAAATACACATTTATTACAAAAATTTAATAATAATAAGTTCGCGCACCAATACTCGCGCCTTTTTATTTGCCAGTTTTCCCACTTAATTAAATCAAACGACTTCATTTTTGACGTTTCGTTCGCGAGAGGTTCCAATATGCGAGTGTCCTTTCAATCGTGGATTAAGAGAATAAAGCAAGAAATATGATGATTTTGATAATGAAGTATTAATAATTACAGAATTTTATTTTGGAAAAACTTGAAAAATTTATAAATGTTTGCAGCAATACGAGCTGAGACATATTTTCAGAAAAAAATCTGAAGGGAAAATATATAAATACGGTGTATGATTATATAGTTAATATATTTTATATTCCCCGTATTTTTTTTTTCTTTCATGTCCTTTTTCGGGTAAACCCTTTGGATTGTGCTTTATCATCGTGTCCGGCGAGAGCTTTCACCGACGCGCGGTCTGATGACTCACTGCGCCGTCGTCGTTCACGATGGTAATCGTCGCGGCGATCGGGTGACTGGGGGCCCGCTGTCGTGGTTACCAGTCCCCGACGAGACGAATTGCCTCGCATTGCGCGCGGGTGTCGCATCAAAAAGGCCCTTCATCCCTTTTCTCACTTTAACAGTATATTACTCTCGATTTCTATCAATAATATAAGTTTATATAAAAATTCTTTGGCTTTATTCAGTTTACTACTTGTCATTGTAGCGTAGTTTAGTTGCATGACAATCGACTTTCTATCTCGTTTTATTCGGAACGCTGGTGCTGCTGCCCGCGTTAATCATTAAGAGACTTGTGTAGATTACTTTATTCCGTGCCCGGAAATTTTTTTTATTTTAAGATAAAGCGAATTGTGTATTACCTGATCGGGCCTCAGCCCAGGCGGCACCCACGTGTACTCTTCGAGCGCACAGCCGCTATCGTCGTCGCTCTGCGAGTGTCTCTGGTGATGCTGCATCAGAGCCTCCTGCAACGCCAGGCCGGCCGGCGCGGCTTGCACCGGGCTCTTGAACGGCTCCTGGTGTGCCGCGCCGCCGGCGCCGCTCGGAAACGCCATGGCCATCGCCATCGGCGGGCCCGGACCCAGGCCGAGTCCCGAGGGACCGCCTGCCTCCGTAGAAGCCCGCTGGTGCTCCTCTCGCGGGCACCTGCAGCTCCTGCACACCTTCCTGTAAAACAAAACAGAAAACAATCATAAGAACACGCTTTTTTAGATATATTTCTAGATATATTTCTTTAAATATTAAAATATTGGATCGTCGTATCGTTTTTAAACTCTTTCTAGAATAGTATAAGAAATTGAAATATGCATTTTTAAAGATTTTTTCTTAATTATTAGGAAAAGCATTCCAAAGATATTTATAATATTTACACTGCTGGTCAGAAGTTTGGATACACTTGCCTATACGCCTATAATTTGTATTTAACTGGACTCCCTTACTCTCCAGGAAGCTTTTTTTGTTATTAATCAATTAGTTTAGTAGTATCTTATATTAAATATTTAAATCTTACCGATCTCTAATAAAAGAATTCACAGAAATATCACAAGAGTAGATATGATGTAAATATTTGTTTCTGCGAGGATAAATTATAGTAGAAAGAATGCCACGACTTGTAAAAATAATCATCAAAACCAAAGGTGCATTTTTTGATGAAAAGAAAGTTTAACAGTTTTTTGTTAAAAGTGTGGTAGATTCAAGTTGTTTTTGTTTATTTAGATTTTCTATAATTTGCGTATTACAAAATAATCATTTACCTTTAATGTAAAAAACGAACTACATCAATAAAAGTAAATTTTTTTATAATATCTAGCCTTTTAATGCTGTATCCAAACTTTTGGCCGGCAGTATAATTATTTGTGCCCTTATTGTTTTTTATTCTAAAAATTAATTTAATAGAAATTAGGTCATGATATATAATAAATGTACAATATACTTGGCTGAGATTCCAAGACAAATATATAAGGAAAATTCCTACGAAAGAATATTCATAGAATCTTGTAGTTTTTTTTTTAATTTTCTCGCTCTACAATTCCCTGAATTAAATTATAGGTCTACATTTTAGGATCTTCCTAGTATTAGAGCCTAGAATCTCTCCCTGTCTAATTATATAGGCTTAAAATTTTAAATCCATCTAACCCGAAACGAACTGACATTCCAGAATTTAAGATTGTAGGATTAAAATGTAAAAATTCTATTTAATCTATAAATATTTCTGCATATATATAGCATCTGTTATATTTCATGTGTGAAAATATACCAGAAAATTGGATATAATAACTAGAGAAATGGAACACGATGCACGACAAAATAAAAGAACAAACTATGAATTATATTACACCTAACCATCCGACAGCATCTTGTTCCTCGCTTGAATAAATCGATATGTTTCGATTTAAAATTTAATGCTCCGAGCATGTAGGAGAATCGCGCGTGCTGTTCCACATGTTCTGGATCAGCGAGCGCTAAGTAGTTATCGAAACATTCAAGCGAAGGCGATGTGGTACGTAGACTTTTATCATAATCGAGAAATGATTCTCAATTGATGCTGTTGTGGACCACGACGCAAAAATGCCGTTCTCCATACAGCGTGGAAGACTGAGACATTAAACGAGAAATTGCGTTCTAGATAATCTTATGTGAAAGTAGATAGAGTGGTAAAAAGAAATGTGTGTGTGTGAGAGAGAGTAAAGCTAATCACCGTTATACCACCACTTGATTCTAATATAGAAGTCTAATTATTATGCATGTATAATACATACTTTATTTGTAGTATTTCATTATGTATATAATTTTTTATCAAAAATAGTTTTTCCTCACATTGCTAATTTTTAGTATTAAATATCTCGATGAGTAAATTATTTGTTCATTTACAACTTGTATTCAAATATTCTAAAAATTGAATGAATAAAATTTTATTATTAATTTATCTCTGTAAAGATTAATTAGCAAAGAAATTTTAATATTTATTTGCATAATTTAAAAAAAGAGGTCGATATGATAATATTAATGAAAAAATTCTTAGATGGAAATTTCAAGTATCATTTAAGTATATTCCATGTATCCAATACACACACACACACACACACACACACACGGAAATTCTCTTTTCACACTTATATATTGTAGATTTCAGAATAAATGCTCCGTGTTTGCTCCGGATAATATATTTGCGTGACGCTTTCGTCCTTGAATTATCGATGTTCACATCTCGCAGAGAAGCACATCCTCTCCATCGCTATAATAGCAGCAACTTACTCCGAACAACCGGCGACATCGTAAGCCGAATTCAGCGAACCGCAGTCGACTACGCGGCCGCATTCCATGTCTGGCACGGCACGGCGATCGAAACTGGTCCCGTCGTCGTGATGCGCGCCCTTCAGAAACTCCACGCACTTCTCCGTCGGGCTGGCACGCGACGTCGCCAGCGCCGGGCAGCCGACCACCGCGGCGACGACATCGTCGACGACGATGTCGTTCGCGGCGACATTGCGATTTCTCAGGAATGCGTCGAGATAATGCTCGTCAGTAGCGGCGGTGATCGGCAGATCGTAAACGATCCCGGGCGTCGCCCAGGGCGCGTCGATACCGCCAGATTCCGCCGCGACGATGTCCCCGTCGCCCTGACCGCTCCTGGCGTCGTTGTTCTTCCTGCCGTAAAGCTTGCGCAGATACGCCTCCTGGTGGCTTCTGGTTGCCCAGCAGCCGCCTTGCCACCATCGCTTCGAGCCGAGCAACGCCGTGTGTCTCCTCCGCGCCAAGCTCGACATGCCTCTTCTTCTTCTTGCGCGACCGACGACGACAAGCGGGCAACAACATCCGGACCCGACTGACGACGACGACGATGGTGGTCGTTAAGATCGATTTCCACCGGCGGTTCTCTTCCTCCGTCCGTTTCTCTACTACAGTGTCTGCAGTGGCGGGGAGAGGAACCCGACGGTAATAATCGTCGTGACGAGACCTTCTAATCTAGGAAGCACGCCGACGGGGTCTTCTCTCCTTCGTTCTTTCCCTCCTCGGTATATTATGTCCCTCTTGGCGGTCGCCGGTCGTCCTCTCGCAAAAGCTAATAAGGCGACGCTTCGGGGCACTGGAGGGTTTTTGTTCCCTCTGTAGAAACCCTTCTGCGGATAGTATAAGCGTATTAAATACCTCTCTCCGTGATATACGCTCTCGATTGCGCCTCTGGAGCTTGGAGATTTTCCGACTTTCCTGGAACAACTCGTGATAGCTCATCGAAGAGCATTCGTGTGTCCGGCGAGCGAATTTCCGTGGTGACAACCACCCTCGAGTCTCTCTCGAGGAGGAGCTAATGAGAGATGAACGCACTCAAGCTTTCTCTCATCGTTCGTCTCAACTTCAATTTGAACGGTCGATAGATACTAGAGACTGGCATACGAAGACTGGTATCGTATCTGGCACTCTATCTTTCCTCTCGCAATCTTTCTTTTTCCTCTTCCCGAGCACATTCTGTTCCGCGATTCTCAAGTGTCTTCTCGTTGGTCGCGATAATGACGGAAACGATTACCACTGTTCAATTCCGCATTCGCGGACGCATCTCCCGCTATTTCTCTCCGTTATATCAAGATGTCGATGATGCCCGCCTCGGTGCGTCTCCACGTACATCATTCTCTTCGCATCGATACACAGAGGAAGTAAAAATCTTTTCTCGCCAAATGTAGCTGTCCTGTCTCGTGGAACAAGGGATGTCTCACGAAAAGGTACCTCGCGTCTGGAGTCGCGATTAAGTCGCCTCGCGCCAGACGGTGCGGCCGCTGCGAGAACGAAGGACTCAATTGCGTACACCGTATCGTCGTCTCGAGTATGTCTCGCCGCCGGCGGGATCGGATTCATCGCGTCGCTCGTTCACCATTTCTCTCTGCATTGGCACGCGCGTTCGCGGAACGCGAACGGACTCGCAGCCTCGATCTCGAGCAATAAGGAGCCAGAGACGGAGACGGTACGAGGGAGAGGTACGCGAAGGGGAAACGAGTGATCGAAGAGAACAAGGCGAAAAGGGAGAGAGGATCGAGTGATTCGCTCCGGCTAAAGCAGTCGCAGCAAAAAGAGACGCAAGGATCGCGAAAGATGAAAAAAGAGAGACAAAGAGAATGAGTAAGAGCGTATCGTCTCGGAGGGACGAGGGCCAATCTGTATGTATAACCGGTAGTACAGCACGAGGATTAACGTTTCAACGTGCGACACGCATGCGACGCGCGATACAAAGGCAATCGGCCGGCGGGGCCCGATGATGCGATCTCCAACCCGTTGTCCCGGGATCGATCGCGCGGATGACAGCCGCGACTCGCAAGATTCGCTGCTCGCCTGTCAATGATCCCTCATGGTCATCATTCGAATGTCTTCTTGTCTCGAAGCATCACATAAGTTCTCGACACTACTTTCGGAGCACTCGGGGTTTCAGATCGCAACGGCGACGACAGAAAGGGCCCCCTCTTCTATAATCCTTTCTATAATCGCGACAGCCGAACAAAACTCGTCCGCGCCGTCGATCCGGCGGCGTGATCACACACGAGAGAGAAATCGCGAGAGAATACGACGAATGGGCGGCGCGTTAAAGCCTTTTAGAAGCGCGTCCCGTCCTTCGTTCCAACGCCGGCGCGGGGCGTGCTGATGCCAAGCGGACACTGAAGCATACTCTGGGACTCGGCGGGCCCCGATGCGGGACAGGGGATTTGAAGGGGGCATGCGGCGGCAAGGGCCCGCGAGCAAGGAGCGCGAGGAAGGAGGAACGAGGACGAGAGCGAGGGGAGAGAGAGTCGTGTCGGTGCGTATAACTCCGACGTTACCAATACGCGCGCGATCCTCCCTCCCCTTCCCCCTCTGCACCACGTGTCTCTCTTTCTCTGTCCCACGCGCGGGTCCCCCCATATATTTATATTCGTTTCTAATACGTGTGGCGTGTCGGGGCACGACGCCTCTCTCGCCGTGGGCCTCACCATCGGAATACGCGGGGACCCGGTTCCGCGTGTGCGTGCGGGCCTCGGGCCCTGTGAGTGAGCGAGCGTACGAGCCGAGGACGCTCTTGCTCTGCTCTGCTCTGTTCTGTTCTTGCGAGGAGCGACTTCTTATTCGAGCGACGTCATCGTGAAAGACACGCCGCGTGTAAAACGTCTCGTTCCCTTCTGCCGCGATTAGATATCGCGGGGCTG